ATCAAAAAATCAGCCGGGCGTGGTAGCGCATGCCTGTAATTCCGGCTACTCAGAAGGCAGAGGCGGAAGGATCGCCGGAGCCCGGCAGGTCGAGGCTGCGGTGGCCTGGAGTGGCCACTGCCCTCCAGCCTGGGCGACAGAGTGAGACTCCAACTCAAAAAATCAATCAATAAATAAATCACAAAAACTAGCCGGGCGTGGTGGCGTGTGCCTATAGTTTCAGCTACTTGAAAGGCTGAGGTGGAAGGATCGCCTAAGTCCAGCAGGTAGAGACTGCGGTGGCCATGAATGTGCCGCTGCACTCTAGCCTGGGTGACAAGAGCGAGACTCCAACTTCAAAAAAAAAAAAAAGGGGGGGAACTGTTACATCTCATAAAATGGTTGTAGAAAGGTAGATATTGAGAAGAGCAGAGAGAATTATGCCCAGAGGTTACTGTAAAAGCCCCAAACTACACAACAAAGACTACTAAAGTCCATAATTAACTCCCACCAACCAGGAGGAGGAAGGCATATATATATATATATACCTTTTGGCAAAAGACTACAATTTCTCACCACCATCTTGGTCCTACCAATCAAAACAAGAGAATAAGCTAAAAACCCAAACTCATCCTTTCTCCCAACACTGCAGCCTTACTTGAGAGGTGTGGAGCCACAGAAATCACAACTACCCTGGCCAGACTCGCCGAGTTTCTCACAGTTTTGAGGCTGCCAGCAAGACTGGCACATAGCAAGCTGTGGAAAAGCTAACAAGCAACACCAAATCCTAAGCACAAAAAAATTTTGGTCGTATTTCTCTTCTAAAAAGCACAAAATATTGCATCTAGATTTCTTTTGTCAACAATCTACCCCTGCAGGAACAGGAATAAGAAAGTCATCTCACTCCCATTTTACAGATGGAGCAAAACCCAAGAGAAGCATGAAGAAGACAAACTTGGCCTCCAGCTGATGCTGGAGGTTCCACGTGGAATCTAGACTTCCACATTCTCTATTCAACATGCTGCCTCCAAACTGCAGTCAACCAGACGGTTAACACAAATACCTAGCTCTTCTCCAATTCATCAGAAAAAGGCCCTGGACCAAAAAATGTAATTCTCCAGTGCCCTGCACTAAGCTTCTTTGCAGAGCTACAGCCCAATTTGCTCTGCAGCAAAAATCTGTATTGTGCTTAGTGTGAGGGTTGGTGACAGAGCAGCCAATGACCATTAAATTCTGCTTCCAAAGGCAAAAAACCGTATAATGTTAGATGCCTTTTCCTCTTCCTAATCTATTAGACGTAGTAGCTAATTTCACGCCACACCTCATATTTGGCATCCCCGGAATCTTAGACGAAGTTCTGGTCAATATGGAACAAAGGCTCGACAAACCACAAGAAAATTAGCAATCTATCCTATGTCATTACCCACAGCTTCAATCCCACCCTCGTCCCCATCTGATGAAAATTTCATCTGTACTGGTAACTGGAGCATTGAATACACAGCTTACCACAAAAAAAGCTGTTTCAGCAGCCACACTTTTCAAGAACTGAGCTCCCAGCATGAATTCATAGGGAAGCAAATGCAGAAACACTGGCCTACCTGAAGAGGCAACACACTGATTTCTTTAGAAAGTTTGTTTTTGGCCTGATCCCCAAGATGAGCTCACAGCACAGCCGTTCAGAAAAGGCAGAAAAGTCAAATCTACCCAACACTTTCCCCTTGGGGTACCCAGATCCCTTGAAAAGGGAAGTCCACAGATGAGTGGCTACTAGTATAGAATCACCTGGGGAGCTTTTTAAAAATGCAAACTTGGCCGGGCTCGGTGGCTCAGCCTGTAATCTCACGCCTTTGGGAGGCTGAGGTGAGTGGATTGCCTGAGCCCGTGGGTTTGAGACCCGCCTGGGCAACTTGGCGAGACCGTATCTCTATAATAAATCAAAAATTAGCCAGGCGTGGTAGTGCGTGCCTGTAGTTCCAGCTACTTGGAAGGCTGAGGCAGAGGAATCACCTGAGCCCAGCAGATCAAGGCTGTGGTGACCGGGAGCGGCCACTGCACTCCAGTCTGGGCGACAGAGTGAGACTCCAACTCAAAAAAAAAAAAAAAAAAGTACAGACCACAATGGCAGTTGCCACAAGGGAAGACTGATTTCACTGACACAAAAAGTTGACAGCTTTCTAAACTGACACTACAGATCAAACACTGTCAAAGATCAGTCCAGCCTTCAGAAAAGCAGAGGAACATTCAATGTCTAAGCTTGGAATTTTCATCAATGGGCCTAGAACTCATAAAACAACGTCTAAGCGTCATTGGTACTTAGCATTCTCAAATGGCCTTGAGAGCAAACCTATCTTCTATTATCACAGAGAGCACATGGGCTTGAGATATCAAGATGCCCAACTGATTGCTGGTCTACAAGTGGATTTGCAGCTCCTGGTGTCATCTGTATGCACAGGGTGAAGGGGGATGGGATGCTGGTTTAGAGTAATAAACAAGGGACCAAGACGCAACGCCAGTTTTTTGGCCCAAAGGCCAATTAGCAACCTTCCTGCCAAAGTTAACGGCAAACAGACACCTCCGAAAAGCTTCAACGGCCAGGCCCTAGGTGAGGATGGGGGGACGGCTTCAAATCATCTTCCACCAAGAGGAATGCTAACCAGCTAAGCGTCATGCAGTGTGAACTCTTGAAGAGTGAAAGCTGTTTCCACAATTAGCTCTGACCTACAGCGAGATGCCACCATCTCTGGTCCTGTCTCTGCCTCCACAGGAAGGCCATACCTTAAGAAGCGCCGGGATCGTGTTAGCAGCGGGGGGAAACGGGGGAAAGGAAACAGAAAAGGGAGTTTGTTAGCCGGCCTCACCTCCCGGCATCCAGCTCCCGGCCCACAGAGCCTCCCATGTCCGTGAGGCTCGCAGCTGAGGCAGCCAGCTCCCCAGAAGGCCTCTTGCCGGTCCCATCCCCGCCGCCGGAGCCACCGTTGCAGCTCTTCGTGCGAAAGAGGCGACTGAGGCGGATTTTGAAGGAGCCCTTCCGAGAAGGGCCCGCGAGTGGCCGGAGGGGCCCCGGAGGAGGCGGGGGCGGGGGAGGTTGCTGCTGCTGCTCGCCTCTACTCAGGCGCCCCGGGGGGACCAAGTCTTGCAAGGGGAAGGGCACCGGGGGTAGCTCGGGGCCCGGGGGCTGCAGCAGCAGCCGGCCGCCCCCTCCTCCTCCGCGACCCGGGCTGCTGAGCTCCTCTTCCGAGCAGCTGTTAGTCTCCAGGCTCTCGGCCTCCGATTCCAAGCCCTCCAGGACCAACAGCGCGTCGCTCGTTTCCGTGGGGTCCTCCCCGGCCTGCGGGGCGGCAGCAGGCGGCTGGGGCTGCGGAGGGGATGGCTGCGGGGGGCA